CTTACATCAGTATGTATCAGCATATGACATTTTATTGAAGTCGGAAATGACAAACACTATATGCCTCGGCCATATTCATGGCAGGGCATAAAAAACTTGAATCTACACTACATGAGGATGTTTCCATATCAAAATGACTAACAAGCAAATTCAAAGAATTGTGGTCCCCTGCTTTCCGTGTCCTAGTGGATGGGATGCCATTATTTATGACATATTGTTTCAAATATGCAGGCCTTATCATATGTCATTCAAAAGTAATCACCAAAGTTAAATTTTTTGAAAATTAGGTAAAACATCAAGGTCAAGGAGTAAAAAAATCATAGCATGCTTGGAAACATCTTGTTACAGGTAATGTACATGTCAAATATAAAAGTCCTTTCTCTTCTCAATCAAAAGTTATAAGGAAATATAACATTTTTGAAAAGTAGGTTAAACTTCAAGGTCAATGTCACAGAGTCAAAAGTCATGATATATTTAGAAAGGTCTTGTTCACAGGTAATATACATGTATAATATGAACGCCCTATCTTTTCTCTTTCAAAATGATCATTTAAAATAATGTTAAATTTTTTGAAAAGTAGGTCAAACTTCAAGGTCATGGTCATGGGTTCAAAAATCATGGTATGTTTAGAAAGTTCTTGTAGGTAATGTACATGTGAAATATGAAAGCCCTATCTCTTATTATTCAGAAGTTATGACCAAGGTTAAATTTATTGTGACAGACAGACAGACTGACAAACGGACAGACTGACAGACAAATGAGATTTAATGTCCTCTAGGTCCCTTTTGTGAAAACGGACGACAATAATGCCCTTGCTGTTCATGAGAAGAAGATTTATGATGGAAAAAATCCCCTGCATTTTTCTATGTAAATCATTGGATCCCCATATGTGGCCCTACCCTACCCCAGTGGGTCATAATTTTAACAAATTTGAAGCTACACTGTCTATGTAAAGAAAGTTTCAACTTTTGGGCCCAGTCAGTGGTTCTTGATAAGACTTTTTTAAAATGATACCACCAAATTTTCACTAATTCTTGATTATCCCCCCTTGAAAGAGGGTGACCCTTCAATTGAACAAACTTGAATCCCCTTTACTCGAAGATGCTTTGTGGCAGGGTTGGTTGAAATTGGCCCAGCGGTTCTAGTGAAGAAGACAAAAATGTGAAAAGTTTACAGGCGGACAGATGGATGACAAACAAAATGTGATCAGAAAACCAGAAAAACTCAAGTGAGCTAAAAAACTGATGATCACAAGTACTTGGAAAGAGTTACAGTATTTGAAAAGCAGTTTTTTTTTTCATGCATTGTTTTCAGAAGCTGAAAAGGTATGACTTGTATCCATGTTGAAAAAACTTCACATTTCAGAAAACAGTATGATTAAAAATAGTTAATCAAGGTGCTTTGAGTAGCAAAATAAGCTAAACTGGTATAGCTAATTCAACCACAGAGCTTGGTGAATTTTAAAATGCACAACCTTTTCAACTCTTAATCATTCTTAAAATATTTATATCATCATTTCTGATTCAAGGGAGAACTAGAGATATGATAAGAGGTATATCCATTGACTAATAAACATGTACATGTATATTGTGTTTTTTAAGTCATTAATGTTTGTTTGTTGTTAAATGTCCCTCTTGGGAATTTTTCACTCATACGGAGACACCACCACTTAAAAATAATGAAGACGTACAAGTCGGATTTGAGGTTAACATTCATTTTAGGAATTTTCAACAATTAAGACGTAAAGAGATAACTCCTTCCCCTTGCCCCTTCACCTTCCCAGACCCCTGTTTGTTCATGTATGCAAACTAGTCTAATACTTTGGTTTGACATAAAAAAAAATGTGAATATATACAAATAGTTTAATGGTCCATCTCTTTGAATGATTTTCATTCCTAATTCTAGGAGGGTACATTGGTTGACCCAAATTCATGAATGAAATGTCAAGTAATCTTATCATTGATGTACTTTTATTTAATTTGATGTAGTCATATTATGAACATTTCCAGTTCATTAAGAGAGTGGGGATGACCTCCAGGTGTTCATAACCTTAAACCATTAGATATACATAACATAATAACTCAAGAAACAAAATTATGTATAGTCAAATGGAAAAGTTTTCTACTGTTTAGGAGTCACATGATCATTTGTCATTTCAGGGACAGGGAGCGGCTAGGGAGATTGGACCCCCCCCCCCCTGGAATTTGCAGTTATTTAAATAGGACTATATACTGATTTACAGAAGCAAATAAAAAATGACTTTGGATGCCCTCCCCCTTTAAAAACATGGACCCCACCATCATTGTTTTTATTTTGTTTGTTTGTTTGTTTGTTTTTTTTTTGCTCCTCAGGAAATTCTGGGCTGGAATTTTTTTGGACCGAGGTGTGGACCCCCACTCCCCCCGGTAAAAAAATTCCCGGATCTGTGCCTGTAACTGAATGTAATGTCGACAACGGGAGATAACTCTTCAGAATGTGAAATTCGTCTATTGTGGCATCCGATGATCCACTCTCTACCATCGGCTCATACATTCAGTGCCTGAGAGAGAAACGAACGACAACTCTGCATAGGAGATTGCCGATGATCTTTGATCCTTTTTAAACTTTAACCTAACCATTTGCATTTCGGTTTATTTTCCCCAAATCTATATTTCAACTTGTACTTACCGACTGTCATAGGTCCTGTCAACTTCATGAAATATAATCCAATTAAAACACAAAATGAATTAATTTCCACTGATATACATGTAACACTGCACCATGTCACATGGCATGTGCAATCTAAAAATGATAATGGTAAAACTAGTACTAGTACTGGTAGGGTGACGCAAGCCCAACGTGATGTAGAAATTTTCAAAAAGGTGTTCACATACATGTACAGTACAAGAACAAATTTTAAATTATCATAAGAAACGATGTTTTAACATAACTTTGCCATCTAGGCCTATTTCCAATAACAGGCAAATTGTGTGTGTGTGTGTTGGGGGGGGGGGGGTGACAAAATTGATTGGGTATGGCTTTTCAAGGAGGTTTTTGCCTAATCAAATACTAAAAAAAGTTTGCACATTTTGATAAATTCATCAAAAACGCTTTGTACTAAAATAATATTATTTGTTGTTGAGAAAATAAATTTAAAAAGTTCCAATTATGGGCCAAAAATTTATATCCCCCCCCCCTTTTATCAAAACCTAATTTACATTATGAATTAAATTCTGTTATTTCAGACTGGTAATGAATTAAGTATATGAAATGCGTATAAGAGGTTCATGGGTCACATGGTCACCTGAGCATTTTATGCTCGATTTGACGAATACATGCACTGTGTAAATTATAGAATTATTTGGACTTTCTCCTTGGTAAGCCCAATATGAAGGAGTGTGCATTTAGAGGCAAACACCTTAGTGCGGGTATTACTGTCTCATGACAGCATCTAGTTTTGTTTCGTTTTGTTTTTTTGGGTTTTTTTGGTAACATTTGATTAAGAAAGGAATATTTTTATGTAATATTTAATTCTTCAAGAATTTATTTTACTTTAAAAATAGTAAAAATTTACCTGAGGAAGAAAGTAGCTATCATCTTTGACCATTTAAAGTGCTCTGAATTTTCTAAAAGCCAGCTTTTTGACTGATTGATTGTATGTTAATTTACGTCCCGTTCGAGAATTTTTCACTCATATAAAGACGTCACCATATACCGGTGAAGGGCTTCAAATTTAGACTTTTACTCAGCACTCAGGGCCATTGAGCAGTGAGGGTTCTTTATCGTGCCAACGCCCACCGAGACACGGGCCTCGTTTTTTAAGGTCTCATCCGATGGACCCGCAACTTTCACTTCAAAGAGCCGAGAGCTTGACGATAGAACAGTTGCTACCTATTTTTTATCGACTTAGGTCAGTTGTGACCGTGATTTGAACACACGACCTTCCGATCACGGAGCGAGCGCTTTGCCGACTGAGCTACCATGACGGTGAAAGCCAGATTTAAAAAAAAAACCATGGTTAATTCATTATTAATATCCCTATTTAACGATTTCACTTGACAGCAAGAAATATATGTACGAGGGGTGATCAAAAAGTTCGCGAACTAATTGAATACATATAACTTCCATAAAAGAAATGAAATAAGGTTTTAGCGTTCATTATTTTTAACGTATTTAAATGCACATCTGCCATCGTTCTGCGCATGCGCGAATCGCGTGATATAGGCGGTCACGTGACATGCTCCGTAGCGTTCCGAGTCTTATATTTTTTACCATGCAAGTTATGTTTTATAACAAGAACTGTGCATTTGTCAGAAATGGCCAAATTTCGGCAATAGGATGGGTGGATAAGGACATTCTTTCCCAGAATGAGCATGACGACCATCACAACCCGAGTCTTCTGTCTCGGAAGCGTCGTTTATCCATTGTGGATAAAGTATGGGAGCCTTCTTTTTATCATATCTGGAATGTTTAAAGTCTAAAGTAAATGATATTTAAGGGATTTAATAATTTTATTATTTTTAAGATATTTAATTCAACCATTTTTCTAACTGTAACTTGGCATTCTTTTATAACAAATTGCTCAGCTAAGGACACATCTCTTCCCCAGCTTGCTTTCATTGGGCAACAGAATAAACATCAGTTTTAACTATCTCCCTTCCTTCACTTAAACAATCAATCCAATGAATGATTGAACTTCTGGCAAGGCTTTTGTCTTCATAATCCTTGTACAAATTAATATATGCTACTGCAAAGGAATTTCCAAGATACACGTTAATCTTTACAGCAACTTCGTTGCTCCAGTACTACTGAGTCAGTCATTTTTTCCAACAAGTCACCTACATGTTGACGTCATTTTCACACTGTAACGTCAGAAAATGTAGCAAAACATTACATAACATCTGCTCTTTATATAACATGTGTATGACTACATCTGGGCCAAATTTCATTTTGATCTGAATTGTGGTTTTGTAAATATAGAGATAGTTCGCGAACTTTTTGATCACCCCTCGTATACATACTCATATCACATTGTTTTTCCTTCCACCCAGATTGACACCCTCCCTCACACTCCCCAGTAAACCTGTTACATCGTCTCGGCACTCCACAGTTAACACTGCATTCATGTATACATCCTTTTCCGTAGTACCCAGGACTACATTCTGTGAAACACAATGAAAGCACAATAAGTTATGTAAATATCGTTCAGAATCATACTGTCAATATGATTGGCTTTAGGGCATGAAATTTCACCGCACCCAACTGAACTCGATTTTCGATAATTGCAAATCGAAATTCATTATCAAACTTGTTAATTCGTGCTATCTGAACGACAACGCAAGAAGACAATACACAACGGTCAACACGCATTTTATTCAATACACATACAACATAATATATCGTACAACGAACCCGACTAGAATTCCGATCCCACTCCAAATATACTGCATTTCATCAACAAAACTTACTAATTATCAATAGTACAATGCGTCTAGTCTCACCAGTGTCGCTTAAAAAATATCAATCCACATTTCGATACAGGTCTCACCAGATTTCAGAATGCACGAAATAAGAACAAAACTCAACAGTTTGATAAAATTAAAATGTTTTCTCCAGACATTTTATATTACAAAGGAACAATATAAGCGATATTGGTAAGTATTAGAAGCATTGTACTGTTGATAAGATGTGTGTCTTCGGTTCGCATGTATCGAAAATCGATCCGAGAATGCCGCCTCCAGTTGGAGGCGACGCATTTCCCTTTTTCATAATGGAGCCGGTTCTGACGTTTTTCTGGCATGTCAAATATCAAAATGGTGAAAAATGCCTGGAAAACAGATATTTCGGACTACATGAAATAATGACAAAAAGAGTTCTAATTCATCGAAAACGTATGAGACCTACTTAATATGATTGTAATTAAGTGGTTAACAATCTAGGTCATATCATACAACCTATGTTGCATACCTCAAGATCAAATTCCAACACAAACCTATCAATGTTAAAGTTACATATAAGAACATCACAGCGACCCTCAAAAGGGAAAATTAGATTTTAAAAAAATTGGAATGGTCCATGGTATTTTACACGATTCCTTAAAACGAATAGGTTTAAGAAATATAGGAGTTGTCAAGACTTAAAACGTCTACTTATACTGCAGAAAAAGTGTGATTCGACAAGGCAATTTTGTTTCACTTTATCGTGAAAGAAAAATAAACAAGTTAAGGTAGCCTCATTCCAAAGAAGTGGAATATCAGTATACCGAGGATTTTGATAGAATCTCTTTTGCATGCTCCAGATTTCACCTTTTTGACATGCCTCTCCCTCCACCCCTTCACTACAGCCTTTAAGACACGTGCCGTTGACATGGTGACAGGTATCTCCGTCACTACAATTACCACATGACAGAGAACACTCCAGGCCATATGTGTGTTCATCACATACTGTAAGTACAACAAAATAGCAACATAATAACAATCTATACTATTAATCTCATTCGTCGACATACGAGGGGTAATAAAAATGAACATGACTAATTCGATTAAATTCTTATGTTTTCAAATTTCATCATTTTTTTTTTGGAAAATACAAACGCATAAATTTGACAAACATACATACATGTATTAAAACATATTTAAAGTATTCCAAGTCAAAGAATAAAATGATGTTTTTCAATGTTTAAATAAGTTCACTAAGATCGCCTTAAACATCATTGAGATGTCAAAATCTGGGGAAAAGAATAAAATCGCAAGTGTGAGGAATATTCTCCTTAGAGAGAAAGACGCTACTGCTCTCGGGCATCCCGAGCGTGTATCCGTTTTACTGTTCATCCATTCATTCCTGAATAGATCAAGCCACTCAATACTAAAAATGAGGAGACATTTTTTTTCACTATTGGATTTCACCGTTTGCGATTTCCTTTGTTTCATTCGCGACTGTATGATATTGCGGGAATAAACTTTGATATCTGTCGTTACTCTTCCACCAACAAATTCCAAACATCACCCAAGAAAATAACCGTAAAAGAGTTGAAATGCTGAAATTCCATCACATTTTGAAACATTATATAACACATCTGCGCTGTATTTAAATGGCATCATTTTTCTTGAATATTTAATAGAAAAGTATAATTTTGTTCAAATTTCTTAAGCTTGTTTACTTCGTTACCTAATATAATTACATGACTGGCCGTGTACGCAAAAGATAGTATCAGTAGTCGACTTTTAATTATTATCATGCTGTGTATAATGGCATTATCATAAAGTTAAAAAAAAGTCAAATATTTATGTCACAAAATATCGATTTTATCGAGGCAGTCCACCAACTTTTTAATCACCCCTCGCCTAAAAAAGATGCTTTCATTAACATGAAAATAGTCCGCATTATTTTGAAATACAAACGCTTACTACCCGGTATGTCGTTGTACACGTTGGTACATTCAATATGATTTATTATTTACTTACCTTGACTACACTTAGGACCTTGATATCCCGCTGTACAATTTATACAATTTCCTGTAGTGATGTTACATATTTGGTTATGACAGTTCTCGGGACATGATTGGTTACAGTATTCTCCGTAATATCCTTCGTCAGGGCACCCTGACGCCATACAAAAGATATTTAAGCATCGTGTCATTTTAAAGCTAAAAAACGGCTTCATGACCTAGAAAGCATTTTTAAAATACTTTTTAAACTTTAAAACAGTGAATTTCCAGTTCACATAATTCATTGTACGCATATTGAGAGTAATAACAAGTATGTAACGTCCGGGTTATCACGCTGGTTTTTTAAGTAAGAAAGATTCAAGAGGACATTCTTATAATGGATAATTATTTAATGATTGAAAGCATTTAAGCGGTTTATAAACTCACCGTAAACTTCTAATTCACATAATTCATTGTAAGCAAATTGAGAATAGTAACTTGGGTACGTCACATCCGGTTTTCTCTCGTTGTAGTATATGACATAACGTCCATGTACAGTACAGTTTATTGTCTGGTTCTCTGTTGGTGTACCGTCTACTGTTTGTATCTCATGGAAACAAAGATAGCCATCGTTCTTATACGTTGTATTAGAAACGTAGAGGAAAAATCCAGCAAATCGACCGTAGTAGGCACCAGGACCTACAAGATATATTTAATTGTTACCATTAAGGAGGAATGGCACAGCAGAATTATATTTAATAGATCTTTAAACCATTCCTTTTAAACTATGTTTTCAGCATTGAAAGGCCGATATTAGCTCCATAACTTAACAGGGATGTCTGGAGGATGCGATTGCAAGGCGTCACCTGATCGACTCATGCGATGTTTTAAAAAAGAAAGTTTACGGTAACCATTTCGGGAATAATTAGGAGAGTCATATGATTGCGCTCATGCAAAAGTCCTCGTGGCAATATTTATAGAAGAGAGAAAGAATAAAATAAAGATTTGACTTTGCAGAGTGTTGGTGAGCGTCGACGCAGATACGTCAAAAATTGAAACTCAACACATTTCTTTTGACAAAAAAGTTTCTTTTTGCAAGTTTTCACAAATCTAATAAAAAAAAATACGTGCAACAAAAAATAGAGGTGTAAATTCTAGAATGACAGACGAAATATTAATTTTCTCTAAATAAAGAGAGGTTCCTCTGACAATAGAAGTACTACAGAGGTATACCGGAGAGGGAAAATCATTTTGAGCATATACATTTCAATTCATCATGATCACGGGAATATATTTGAAAAATGAATTTTATTGTTGAAAATTCACTAGGACATGAAGAAAGACGCTTCACGCCAGCATATTTCATGAACCGCGTAAGCATAGAGCATTGCAAATTTATGTCATTCAATGATTATTTTTGAAACAGAACAGTTTACACAGATATTCTTACACATCCGTGTATAGTTCATGAGAAAATGAACCCTTTTCTAACTTGCAAAGAATCTGAAGGAAATATATTTGCAAATATAAATATTAAATAGCCAATCATTATAATTTGCCAAAAAAGATAATTGGATTTTTATATAAATATTGCCGATACAAGTTCTATGAATTAGCTCCTATTCATTCAATGTTTTCAAGTGTCTACAGCCCCCCCCCCCCCCCATTTCAGGTCACTGTGCAGAAACCTCGATGAGTCTTCAGTGTATGAACAGTTTGGCCCTTGGACCACTGTGCACTAGTTTAGAATACAATATTTATATTACTATAATAACGGAATGAATGTTTTGGAGATGGGGAAATAATTAAAAAAAATGTGCAAGTTGTTATTTTTTGTGCACATGATAATTTTATCATTCTGCTCTAAATATAAAAGGAGCAAAAACCGCAAGATTTTCAAAAAATTATTTAAAAAATCTATAACTAATAATTTTAGTCTTTTAACAGATTAAAAGGTTAAAAGACATATTTAAGCTTCAAACCATCATATGAAAATTTAATAATGAAGTTTTTTTTTAAATATTTTAGGAATGGGGGGGGGGGAGTGGTTATTAATATGCATGTAGCTTCAAAACGAATGTGATGATCGTACTTCACATTTTGACCACAAGTCACTTATAATAATTCGTACAAAATATATTAGTTTTTGGAAAATTCCTTTGGTATTTTTTTAAGACGTTGGAAACTGCTTTAAAGGTGAAAATATAACTGTAAATTTAAAATGAATACTCCCTAGAGCAAGTGCGGCATTACTACATCTATCAAAAGTTTCCAATACAAATTTTATTTTCAATGAATATAAAGCATATTATATAATATCTGGTAGAAATTTTTTTTTTTTTCAATTTTGATATCTGTATGACATTCTTAAAATTTCACCACATAAATACCAAAATATTGAAAAACTGTGGTTACCATAGCAACCATATCATCCTAAAAAGCCTGATGATCATGATTGACATTTTCATATTATGATACCACTAACGTAAGGCAAATTTTATGTAAAAATGAGAAAAAATTCATAGAGCGGATTTTTTTCACGGGACCCTTGCAATCTCTTCCTTAAAGATCTATGAAATAAAATATTGGTGTGCCGTTCCTCATGAAGTGTTGTTGGTCATTTAGTATTTGTTGTTGTACATCTGGGCCACGTAAATAAGAATGAGGTTATATTTTCAAGGCTGCAAGGAACCCGTCAGAGTAAATAAGACATGTCTGTCTATTAATAACCGCTTACACAGTCAAACCTCGTTATCTCGAACTCCACGGCACGAAGAAGATCTTTCAATATATCAGATAGTTCGAGATATTGAGGGTAAATTACTGAAAGAGAAAGTACATTCGACCTCAAATCATTTCGATATATCCGTTTTATTCGAGATATCCATGTTCGAGATACCGAAGTTCAACTGTATTCACTTTATTTACTTCTCAGAAACTTGTTTGTTAAAACTTCTTGTAGAGTTTATCCGCTATACGAATCAGTTATATAGCTTATCTTTATTAAACCCGACAACATATTTCTTCCCGTTTTCGCTTTTTACCATTTCTTATCTTTCAACTCCTCAAAATATCGATAAATAAATTATGAGATTACAAGTTGTGATGAAACGGTGCAATATCTATAGCCTAATCCTGCATGCTTAAAAAGCATAAAATTATTTAAACTTGGGTTTATTCCTTGTTTATGTTATAAAGCTAGCTTAAAATATATTTGGAGGATAAAGATGTATATTTTATAGAACATTTCATTGAACAAATAACGTAAGAAATCGAGGTCAACCAGAAAAATTCTACTCATCAATTTTTGTCTATATTTATTCAAAAATGATCGCTGAAAATTCTAATACTTGTGTTGCACACCTGCCCAAGAGTATGTGAAACTTTAAAGTAGAATTGTGAAGCATAAATTACATCAGAACATGGTTCTACTCTGTCAGAAGCTATGGTGCAATTATCTGAATTTTATTTCAAATTTTTCAGTCCGGTTTTTAAAATGTCTTTAAAAAAAGGGGGAAAAAATTAAAACATCTGCACGATGAACTCGAAAAAGGACAGATTTCTTTAATAAAACTGTAATTAACTTAGTACTAAATTATTCCATTAGATGCTTATTGACCAAACAATGTTTAATAGGATGAATAGGATTCTGTTCATCCTTGAACTTGAATCTTTATAAAAAATATGTTGCACTCCTGACCGTGGAAATATGGACCTAAAACATAGACAGATCCTGTAAATGATAGATTTATTTGATAAACATGTTCCTTTTCACTTTATTGTCATAAAGGAAAGCATAACATTATGTACTGATTAAAGTTTTTCCAATTAGGAAAGCAAAATGCACTTCTGACATGAATGGGTATCTGCAGATACTTAAGCCTCATTAATGTTGCTTGTAATTCAACTTTAAATGGTCTATCGGCTTTTGTTAAACACTTTCAAAATTCCTTTGCTGACTCAATTCTTATAAAGATTTGTAAATTCAATATTTTTTGGCATCATTACATTTATTTGATGCACTCCTGACATTGTTTAACATTTTTTTTTCAGCATCAGCCGTGAACTTTACTTGATCAAGCAAAAGTAATATTCGTACACTTTAAATTTAAAGCTTAGTATATTAAATTTAATCAGAAAATTATTTCCAAATAAATCATTATTACTTATTTAATAGATCTTCAAAAATATGGAATTTTCAAAATGTCACAAAACGATGTTGCACTCCTGATATTTTTAGAATCATTTTTCGGCATAACTTTTTTTGTTTCTTAAGATATCAATGAGGTACTTGGCAGGAATTTAGCCAGTTTCAAAAGACACATGCTGAGCTTTTGAAATTTATTCACATAGCCTGCATTTTTATGCAGGTTGATAATTATTTGTCTAATCTTTTTTAAATTCGTCCATGGGCTCTTTTCTGCCATTTTCCTGCCATTTGCTAGTTTTAAACATTGGTGAAGGTATCCTCATTTTCAAACATTTTAAGAGTTGGCATACATGTAGAACACAATATAATGCGGGAAATTGTTCTGGGTATAATATTGACACAGTGCATCAGAAGAATAGCATGTAACTTAATTTTCCCCTAAACCCAACACTTAACGCTCTACGTACGAACAGTCTCTAAAAAGAGGCAAACTATTTGCAAAGAAGCCAATGAAACAGGCCTCGTTTAAAGTCAATATTACGCGAATTTTATGGTCGATACAATGACTTTATCAGTATATACAATCTTTAACTAAGTTGTATGTCGACTGACTTTTGTCATACAAATTGTTAGGCTATTATTTTCACACTGAATTGTCTACAGATTTTTACGTTTGCACGATCATGACAAGGAGCACATGGCGGGTGTGCCCGGTTGACGGGGAATGCTTAGTCCTCTATGGCATCTGATCCCATCTCTGATGTTTTAAGAGATCAACTATAGTAAATTATTGTAAACTATAGTAGATTTTTTATTAGGATATAAAAAGTAGTAAATCATAGAGAATCATTAGCGAAACCTGAAGTTAATAACAAAAGCAAGTCAAAGTTGTTTACTGATTACGTTTGTTATAAACAATCTGCACTATTTTGCAATATAACGTTTTTTTTTTTTGTTTTTTTTTAAGAATAATTTTTTTTTTTAGAATTGCAAATGTCTAACAATGAAATTTTTAGTGACAGTGAAATTAAAACCACCCTGAAATGAACAAAGAAAATCGTGAAATGTTAAACACTTGGAATTAAGGATGTTAACAGAATGCTTTTAGGTTACTCACGTACTAGGCATATTATCTGTCCTGTAATATATGTTTATAAAACTGATGCTGACCACACTCTCTAGATCTACTCCCCATGTTGCTGTCTTCTCTCCATTTCCTGATATTGTACACTGGTTGCCCATTGCTGAGCGATTAGAATATTCCCCATCTACCGCTTTTGCTGCTCCCCATTCAATTGGTCTGATTGGAAAGTAATTCTCTTGCCACGTAGGTTTCCCAAAAGCTAAATTTTCTTTAACAAACAAATTTAGAAAAAAAAATCTTTAAAAAATCATATTCTTACATATACAACATTAAATAATACAAGATATTAATACATGTAGGGTGTAAAATCTCCACACAAGTTTCAGTTTGTCTAATTGGTACAGCTTGTTTATTTTCTAGACATGTTCACTTGACACACTGTATGATTTGTTATATAAAAACGACCTAAAAAAGAAAGGAATTTCATTCCATACGTTATGCTCATTGAGGAAGTTATGCATTTTTTCCTCAATTATTCTTTCAAATAGCTTACCGAAAGCCCGAGTACATGTGGCACAAAGAAGGAAGTGAATAAGTACGATGCTCATGTTCAATCTGAAAGGAATTGAATGCCTCATAGTCTAATTAACTGTATTTTAACTTTCAATCGTCCATAAAGTTCGAAAGTTATATTCTATTTCATATAGCAAGAAAGTATTGTCTTTTTTATTGATGTTGTTTTCTATAGAAAAAAATATAAAACATATAACATGTGTTATTACATAAAATTTTGAATTCCTTCTTGTAGTGCGAAGTGATATTTAATAAAACATTGAGTACGGGATATTTGGGTGTCACCTGTAAATGAGTTAATCTCTATATTTAAAATCCATCGTGTCAGTTACAAGTCCTTTTTTTTCAAAGTCATAATAAAAACGCAAAGAAGTGATCTTTAATGAATTAGATAAAGAAGGTAAAATGTGTGTATTTCTACAGGTCGCATTTAGTAGAGATTTTCGTTTGGAGGAATAAACTTTTACCGCTGTGCGAAATGCACTGCAAATACATCCAACCATAGTATCATTTACTCTCCTCCGCTAGCGTTGATAAACCAAATTAAGTGACTATTCTAAAATTCAAATAAGGCCCTATATAGATTTGATTCCACTCTTAAAATATGGAAAAGGAGAACTGAAGCTGACTTTTTCCTTCTTTTAGTTTAAAAAAAATTGTATCTTTGTAGCCCCTGTACCATTTTATGAAAATATTAATGCTATTTTTGTAAACATGCCAAGTATTGTCAACACTGTTCGTCAAAATCAAAAGTGGACGAAAGAATAATGTGCATAAGTGCATTTTACTAATGTACAATGTTTAATTAAAATCGGACCATATTTTGTTGAAAAAAAATCAAAGAAATGTCCACACTTCTTTTAATAACCACGACAGCATCTTTCCTGAAAATCGATACCAAGAATCCAGAATCATTTGTTATTTACGAGTGGTTATCGAAAATTTTTTGACAGGTGCGAGAACATTATTACTTTAGGTTGTGGTACCTTATAATTAGAAAGGTACATGTCCTAGTTGTTATTAAATTATATATTATTATTATTGAATATATGCTTTGCGCAATATTTAGTATCGTATTCTGATTGCAATTGGCGCGCATCGCCAATCGAATAAAACCGGTTTTACAGGTATGTTTTTGTTTGTTAAAGGTGACACCGTGACGCACAAAAACTGACAAAACTCGAATTTTTGCATGATCGATGCAAATTTTGTTCGATTCCTGAAAGTATTAGGTCTCAGAAAATTAGAGGTTTTGGAACCCAAAAAATCTACTGCTATGGAACAAAAAATAGTTTTTGTTTGGCCCAAGACGAAAATATTGCTTTACTTCTTCCTCCTTATTGTACGCGTGCGCAAAGAAAGTTCAAGAGGTTACCATGGTGTCATGCACCAAAACTTGAATGTCGGTATACCAAAAATTTTGATACAATAATTTAAAAAGATTATCACATCATATTTCTCACCTTCGCATGCTCCAAATCAATGTTGTTTACAAGTTTACGAAAAAAAAATAAAAGTTGCGTGACCTTGACATGCACGATTACAACGAAACGGTAGAAACAACCTTTGTTTTTCCGGCACTTATATTTTGCAGTCTTTTCTTGCTTTACAGTACAGTTGAGTTTGTCATATCTTCACTATAATCATATTTTTCATAAATCTTTCGCATTATGATACAGATATCTTAAAAGAAACGCATTATTTTGACCCATTACGTTACTTTAACTTAGATCGACTCAATCGATGTACAGAAACCCGGTGCTGTCAATGTTCAGACTTAAGAAGCTGGAAAACGTTTATGCATCTCAATGTTCGTTCCCTCTGACTAATATACTTTCATTGACGAGGTACCATGGAGTGAAAGATAGAAATTATCCTGCTGATATGACTTTGAATTTCAGGAACAGCTGATAAAAAAAGAAGAAGAAAGACTATGAAAAGGATTCTCCACTTGTCGGTGACAGCCTTATTTGCTTGTCGGAGTTCAACAACAATTTGATGGATTGATTGATTGTATGTTGTTTTACGTCCCCTTCGAGAATTTTTCACTCATATAGAGACGTCGCCATATACAGGTGAAGGGCTTCAAAAATTTAGACCTTTACTCGGCACTCAGGGTCATTGAGCAGTGAGGGTTCTTTATCGTATCAACGCCTACCTTGACGCGGGGCCTCGGTTTTTGAGGTCTCATCTGAATGACCCGCAACTTTCACTTCAAAGTGCCGAACGTTTGGCGAAGGAGCAGTTGCTGCCTATGTTTGTCGACTTAGGTCAGTCGCGGCTTTGATTCGAACACACGACTTTACGATCACGGAGCGAGCGCTCTACCGACCAACAAAAATATGAAAATCATGGTAAGAAATACTTTGAATTACTAAACCAAACTAGTAGACTAATTGTTCAATTAGAGGTCTTTCCACCTTCTTTCAATTTCAAATATTTTTCATATTTTAAACTCTAAAGTTAATTTTTATACAAAAAGAATCCATAAATGGCTTGAAAGATAGAAAAAATGAAAATTTTAAAATGACCTTGACCTTTGACCTTGAACAAATATTAAAGGTCAAAGGTCAAGGGTCACATTGCACTTGACCCCGTGCTTCTACGACTTTTAGTTTTAAAGTTATAAGGATTAATAATAAGCGCAAAGACGTTAAAGGGCGATAACTCATATAAGGGATCATCAGATCCTTTCACACTGAATAGATTGAAGATGTGTCTAAAGACCCTTAAGACATTAGTGAAGATTTGGTGTCTGTATAGTTAACGGTTTCGAAGGAGTAGCGATAACAAGGTTTTTAATGAAAGGGGCAATAACTTTTAAAGGGGTTAATCTTAGGGGACATGTATAAAATCTTTGAAATAGTTTTTAGAGGACATATCAAAGATGTAAAGATATATAGTATAGGTTGAAAGACAAAAGAGATATAAGAAGAGCTTAATTTCTCATATTTTGAATGACCTTGACCTTTGACCTTGACAAAAATTTTAAGCTCTGAGGTCAAAGAATCTAATGCAGTTGGTTCCATGTCTCTACGACTTATCGTTTTGAAAATTTTTCATTATACGTAAACTTCATAAACTTTCAGGGGCAATAACTCATTGAAGGGATCGACAAATCATTTCGCAATGAATAGATTGAAAGGTCCTCTCAAGTAGTCGAAGACATTGGTGAAGGTTCTGTATCTCTACAGTTTACGGTTTCGAAGGAGTAGCAATAACAAGCTGTTCTTGCGAAAGGGGCAATAACTTTGTAAGAGGTCATAGGTCAAACACGGGGGATCATTTTTCGGAATAACTTTTAATATCCAGTGTCATGAACTATAAAGTTTTTCTATAAGTCTTGCGGTTTCAAAAGTCCGGGAAGAAAAATAAGCATTTCAAGAGGTCTTTCCACAGAAAGGTGGAAAGACCTAAATATGGTAATAAAGTTAACTTTTGCTAATTATGGTATATTTAGGGTTTGCCTGGAAATCATGGTAAATTTTATCCGAAGTTGAGTAGTCCTAGATTTGTTGAGGGAAGGAGATAACATAGTACCTTAAATTCAGGCATTACCCTAGTAATACTTATATAAGAGTGCTTATATGAATGTAGATGTATGCTTTTAGATCTCTATGATGTTAACTGTTCCTTAACAAGAAAGTAAAAGAAGACTAGTCTTACCGTAAGTATATAGACATCTAGATACCAAAGGTAAAAATCAAATTATTATATGAAAATAAAAACCAGGAAGTGTATCTTAAACTAGGCACAGATATTTAAAGTCCCTCAATTGTGCAATGCACATGTACTTGTGTGCAGTAAATAATTCATTGTAAAATCTGTGATTGCCTTTTTTTTAATTAAAGAGGACATTTAAACTTATGAGTCGGGAATTAACAATGATCACTAAACAAGATACGCTGAAATGGTATACTGGAGAAACAATAACAACATATTTTAAAAACATGGTGCAGAAATGTTATCTGATGAAAGTTTGTTGTATTATCATATGTATTCGGTTCATGCTTGATCTTTTGCACCTGTTGAATTAAAAAGGAAACAAGCTACACCGAAAAGTTATTGAATTCAATTTACGTTTTACGACGCGTCAACTTTTTTTTTTATAACATATGCATTAAATCGCTTAAGTAGAGTTTATTTTCATGTCCAAATATAGCTAATTATTTTTATTGAAACAAAATGAGTCTTATGATAAAATTTATGGTACGACTTCAATATCCTCTGAAGATTTCGTCCTTCTTTAGATACGTTTGGATATGTGCCAAAAAGGCTTGATTTCTAAATCAATGTATGTGCTTAATCGATATAAATGCAAGACATCTTAGTTTAATAATAAAATGATAATAGAAATTGAATCTTATTATAATTAGTATTTCATTAAAATTGTAAACAAAAAATTTGCCACAAGAAATTATCATCACAACAATTTACTGAAAGTATACCTTTAAGTTGTAATTGAAACGTAATTTTCCGGTTAACAAACAAATATAACTAGGTAATTTCATAACCGAAAATATTGTTTAAGTGCATGGCTATAGGAACCGGGGGGGGGGGTACCCCCCCCCCAATAATTTTGCCGATATATAGATAACTATAGAAAACATAGGTACCATATGCTTGTGCCCCCTGAATAAAAACGTCTGATGACCTTTTTTTTTTTTTTTTTTTTGCTTGTCAAAAATTTTTGGT